TGTTTAATAATTTGTTGGCCATTTCTGTAGAATAAAGGAGCTAAATTGTGCTAATCTTTCAAGTGGGCAGATTTATTTCTGTTTTGAAAATGTGTAAAGCCAACATAGTTGCTTTTGAACTGTGTCATTGAAAGAAAATGTTTATTGGGTAGCTTCAGCCAATAGATGATGGAAAAATTCCATCTATATTCCATTTTGGTGTCATATGACATAAACTGGAACACACACGCACGCGCGCGCATACAACACACACACACACACACACACACACACACACACACACACATACACATATATATATATATATATATATATATATATATATATATATATATATATAAATTATGTAATCCTTCTTTATTAAAGACGACTGAAAAGGTACTACGCTTAAGATTTTGTTGTAATGTTTCTTCGTTCGTATATTTTTTCTGGACATAAACTATGTAAAAATTGTCCGAAGCTATCCTCCGTTCTTTTAATCATCATCAAAGATGATTTTTATTTTTATTTCTATTTCTATTTTTAACTGGATCTATGGATTTTTCATGTATGAATCGCAATGTATAGAGTTATAAAAAATGTATGTTTTCCGTTTACCGAATACTGTCAGCAAACTTAATAGCATCAACTATGAACACGGCCACAATATGTTGACGTGTTTGGAAATAGAAATCCTATAACGTTTGATGTATACACAAAATGTTCATAGATTCAGTTAAGAATAAAAAACATAACAATCATCCTTGATAATGGCTAAAAGAATAGTCGAAAGCGCTTGGGCTTTCGAATTGTTACTTATTTTATGCCCAGAAATTAAAAAAAAATTCATCGTGATAACTTATCAATCGTCTGTGATGTAACTTGTATATATATATATATATATATATATATATATATATATATATATATATATATATATATATGTGTGTGTGTGTGTGTGTGCGCGCGCGTGTGTTATTTGTTCAGTTCATTTGTCACATACAGCGCAAACATAAAACTGAATAAATTTGACAGATCCTCATACGATGAAATTGACGGGAGAGATCATTATATATATATATATATATATATATATATATATATATATATATATATATATATATATATATATTCAGTTTATTTGGTCCGAATGTATCATTTTAGGATATTTTTGTGTTTTTTTTCCCTAATGGGCGACATGTTGAAACACTGGTTCTATATATATGTATGCATGAATATATATTTATATATATATATATACATATATTTATATATATATATATATATATGTATATATAAATAGCTGTATGTGTATATATATGTATATGTATCTGAGTGAAACATATATATATATATATATATATATATATATATATATATATATATATATATATATATATATATATATATATATATATATATATATATCCTGAATGTCTTGCGATGCGAACTTTCTCGTTTTGCTCCTTATAATACAACCACCTTTTATGCGATTGATAGCTGCTAAAAGCGTTTTAATGCGAATGCATTTTCTTTATCATCAGAAAAGCTAATAAAAATTACATAAACACAGAAACTTGCAAATGTTTTCTTTGTCATTTTTTTTATATCCTGACAGTCGGCGAAATAATCACCCGACTGAACGCCACGGACATTAGACTTTTAGACGACATAGAAGCAAATGTGTACGCTTTTCGGGAAATTGGATTCTAGCTGAGTTTTACCGCTGGATGGATAATAGGAAGAATAAAAATTTATGTATTTTCCTGATGATCCTGAATTTTATTTAAGCAAAAAGAGGTAAAGAAAGAAACAAAATGAGAAGGAGGAAAACTTAGTGTCGGATAGATAGATTAAGAAAGAAAAATAAAAGAATTAAATGGGCGAAAAGGTAGACATAGATAGATTGTAAAAGCAAGAAGTAAAGGAAAAGGTAATTGAAAGTATCGAAGTGTACTCAGAGATGGATTAAGAAATAAAGAAAAGTGAACAGGGTGAAGAGGTAGGTATAGACAGATACATACATACATAATCACTGGAGAGTAACCTTTCTGCCTGCCATCAGCATCGCTGATGCTAGACTCCTGCAGGGCAGCACACTGCGCCTTCTTGGCCTCATGATTTCAACTGACCTTAAGTGGAGCGACTACACGAATCAATAACTGCATCTATTGCAAGGAAAGTTGAGTCACTGTGTTGTCCCAGAAATTTTTTTCTTGTCAGAGTTCATTTTACACATTTACAAATCTACCATTCGCCCGTGCATTGAATGCCTCTGCCACATCACGTTTGGTGCTCCCTCTATTAATCTCAAGGTTCTTGACAAAGAAACATCTGTAACGTAATCGATCCTGACTTAGCATCTCGACTTCAGCCACTTTCTCAATAACGTGACGTGGCTTCCCTCTGTCTTTTCTACAAATATCATCATGGCAGCTGCTCTGATGAGTTTTTTCCCCCACCTTGGCTGCCTGACTACATGAATTTAAGCTTCCTACTAGATTGGCATCTAGTTCCCAGCTGTTTATTGTTGAAATAGCCAAATGCAACCAGCACTTATACAGAATCTTTTCTTGCACTTCTCGTCTGTGGAACTCTCTCCTACATGCGTGCTTCCATGATAACTATAATCTTCAAATATTTAAATGCAACGTCAATCGCCATCTTCTATCTCTTTGAATTGCAATCATCTACTGCCCTTTCCTCAATCCCTTCTATACTCTGTCCTTTCTTTCACATTCACTCCTTGTAACCCCCACCTCTGCATACTAGTCGCATTCCCGACTTGCTTGGGGTGAAGAATTAAAAAAAAAGAAAACTAGATACATATAGAGCGAAACTAATCAAAACTGAAAAAATTCAGATTGCCAGCCCAAATCCTATTTCCGACAACAGAGAGATTGCTACACTCTATCTACTATATAGCTATTTCCAGAGCGAACTATATTCTTTTGTTCCACCAGTTCAGACCTTCACATCTTGTACCCCCTCCATACTACGTACACTGTATCCATCCACCCTCAGACTTTTCTTATTCCACATGAAAGGAGAAATTTCAATGCAAACAGGTTTACGCTGATTCCCGAGGGTGTGCTTCCATGATCACTACAATATTAACCCCTTAAAGTCGACTGTCAGCCGCTTTCTACCCTATAAATCCTCATAATATCTATTTGTTGCTCCCACTTTGTATGCCATTGGATCAACCTCATTCAGAAAACCTCTGCCTTGGGTGGCTCTTATAACTTGTAATGGGTAAATATAATTAAAACTGAAATAAATACATGTAGCCAATTTGACTCTAGCATGATTTCACATTTTCAATTTAATAAAAGGTTCTCGAATATTTAGCTGTGTATTAGAAAAATAATTCAAAAATACGCTCTTAAATAGGCGCCCTAGGGGGTCGTCAGCGATGTTATTTGACTTGGTTCCTCAAGGAATTTCGGGTCTTTCAACATCATACACCCCATCACCAAGTTGACCCAATCAGGGGAGATCAATACCTGATGCCTTCTCTCATTAAAACGCTAACAGCTACTCTGGCCTTTTAATGAATTCTCCGAAGAAAGACCACGTTTTTCCGCACACACGATTGGATGTTTGTAACAAACAATCTGCTGCGCGAACTATTTTTAAATGGTCCACGGTGGGGACTGGCTTCTTTTTTTGGTGGATAGCAGTTTCAATATATAACCGAGGAGGTAATCTTAATGTTCCTAAGTTTAACCGTTTTTCCTTAAGTATTGTATAGTGTCTTACTCTAAATATTTGCCATTTAAAGTGCTGCCTGCATCAAATAAACCCAGTACGAAATTTATGGTTTTCGGAAGGTCGTTAACTAAACTGATTCATCTGTCTTATCCGGGAGTAAATCGAGAGAGAGAATTTACCAACGTAGCATGATTCAAAATCTAAAAAAAAACAAAAAAAACAGACTCTCTCTGGATAAAAAAGCTCTTCTGAGAAACAACGGTCAGTTAGCTAGAGAGAGCTTCACAGACAGTCAGGATTCCAATGTCATTCTCATTGATGCTAATGATAATTTTAATAAAAGGTATTTCCTTATAAAGAGACATTCGACAACTGGCGCTATCCTCGCCTGAAATTTATAGAAACTTTCTATTAAAATAGATTTCTCAAATACATTAACTGATATCGCTCTTTCTACTGTTGATGGCGGCTTCCACTCTGATCTCTTGCTCGAAGTCTGTAGCGTCGACATATTATGACATTATTTACTTTTCGAATTATATCTACTATCTATTTATTCCTTACTGCTGTTTTCAACTGATACGATTTCTGTTAATTGGCACAATTCTTTTGTTCGCGATTCTTTAAAGCCAGTTCAAGAGGTTCAAAAAAGGATGATCATTGGCTCTTTATTTAATTAATGTCTTTACATTAATTTTTGGCACAAGGTCGAAAGTGTCATGGTGAAAGGCGGATTAACACTTATATCTAGTTAATTCGATTCACGCCCCATTCACTGTAACAATTCTCTCAGTCCACAAAATAATCCTACTCCATTGATCTGAGAAAGCAATCATATATATTTGACAATTTAGACATATCAGAAGATATTTTGTGCCATGTATGATATTCATGGTATTTACTAGTCTACCCACGGTGACAAGATGTAATAAAAAGTCGGTTTAATGTGAGGGACCCGAACACGTACACCCGGGCCAGGGTCAAAAATTGTTGGTATCGCTATTGTTCCCGATTCCCCCCATTTAGTTCAATGAGAGAGTACTGCAAAGGGGAGCTGTTCCCCGGGACCGAGTACTTCTTAGTATTTTTCTGTTGCGCTCTGTCCGCAGACAAAAGCACATACTGTTATCATATAAGAGATGATAACATTACAAATAGAAAAGATACCATGCATGATATCCATATGAGAAACTAGATCGGACGAGGTTATTTAAAAACATGACCAAGTTCATAGGATAAGGTCTTGGTTTTGTAGTATCTTGCGATGTTGGACACATTTAACGTTTGCATAGTCTATGTACTGCTTACGAACATATTACGTTTAAACACAGGTTTTCCTACGATCACTGAAGTTAAGTAACGCCGAGTCTGGTCAGTACCTTGATGAGTGACTGCTTGGAAATATCAGGTGTTGTAAGCTTTGATGTGCGGGTGGTGTAATGGATAATGGCTCGGAATTGTTTATCGGAAGGCTGAGTTCCAATTCCAGTTAGGTTCTTTCTATTCACTTTCAGCTGGTTTCATACCTTTGGGAAAGGTATGAATCCAGTTTTTCTCCCTCAGCTATGGGTTAATTAATAAGACTTGCATCACTAAATCATTGCTATCTGAAAAAAAGAAAATCTTACAAAGTAAAGCTGAAGTAAAACAACTACATTGAATCTATAGCTTCATCTACCGATAGGAAAGTTGGTTCTCTGTGTCGCGCCAGAAGGTTTTTTTCTCGTCTGAGTTCATCCTTCAAATCTACAAATCAACCATTCGTCCTTGCATGGAATACTGCTGCCATATGTGGTCTGGTACTCCCGCTGTTCCCCTCAAGGACATAAACAAAATCCAAAGACGGATATGCGAAGTGGTTGGTCCTGATCTTGCATCCCGTCTGCAGTCGCTATTTCACAGTCGTGCTGTGGTTTCCTTTTCTCTTTTCTACAAATACTTTCATGGAAACTGCTCCGACTAACTACTTTCAATTCTTCTCAATCTGCATGATTTTAAGCGTGCTACTAGTTTGGCATCTCGGTCCCATCCTTTCACTGCCGAAACGACTAAATGTAGCCCCCTCCTCTACTCTAATGGCTTCTTATCTCGCACTTTCCGTCAGTGGACTCCCTTCCTATCACTTGCTTCTCTAATAGCTATAATCTTCAAATATTCAAATGTAATGTCAATCGACATTTTTGTTATGTAGTACGAAAAGGTTTTTCTTCCTCCGTATGAATCCGAATCCCTCGTCGCCAAATTGTTATGTAGTGGTTTTCACAGTAGAGGCCTGTATTTTTACTAAGTCGGTCCTAAAATAGGTTCGACGTACAAAATGTTAGGAACTTGATATAATACGCAATGATGCAGTAATCTAGTTGTGGTGGCTGATACTTTAATATCCGACTAACGGTCGTCCGATATCGACCGACTGACCAACTCAATTCCGACTGACTTGTTACTCTTACTACTCCTACTTATTATAGGTGGGAGAGTCTATTTACTATAGAATAGGTGTGTTCCACTATAACAATCTTCTAATGCCTTGATCCCTGTCCTCTATCCTTTTCCCAATCTCTCCTCTTTACACTTACTCTCACTCTCTGTAACCCATTGCGTACTAGTGGCACTCCTACCTTTCTTAGGGCGATTTGCTTAAAAAAAACCTGTAACAGTTTGATAAGACGTAAAAAATTTCACTCAATCAATCAATAAATTCATGTGTGTTCAATTTCCTAATCTCATAAATTCATTTATTTTATAACTGACTCATACACTGAGGTTCTGAAGTGTTCAATAATTATTAATCCAACTGCCTAAATTTTTATAATGGATTCAAGGTAGGTGCCATTACTGCTTTCATTCTAATTCCAGCTAGGTTGAAAATAGATGGATGCATTACCTTTCCCAATGGTATTTGCGCGTCAGTGAATTTAACGAATGCGATTGGAATTGCAACTAGACTCTCCGATTTCCAATGACACCACCATAACCTCCAATGTTGCAGTACCTGATATTCCCAAGCGGTCATCGATCTAAGTGCAGACCAGCCTTCGACGTTGATAAACTTCGGTGATCGTACGGGAACCAATGTTTCAATGTGATATGACCGAAAGCTTATAGAAAGTTGAAAAATGAAGAATGTTTAGATTAAGCAATGTTTATTAAATTTAAAAAAAAAAAGCAAAAGAAAATGGCTAATTTAACGGGTGCATTTCTAACTTGTTAGTGTTCATAGATTCTTTAATAAAGACATGATCAGACTAAAAAAAGTATTTCTCAAGATAATTCACTAGATATATAACAATTAATGCACTATTCTAATTAGCCAAGAATTGCACACACGAGAACAAACATGCTAAAGTTAGCTACTAGAGACAGGTCAATAATATCGATCAGTAACGCGCTCTTTCACCCCCCCCAACAAAAACCCCAAATAACTTTGATATTTTTATTAGGCAATTGCCGTATAGCATTTAACGTTGATCAGTATTCTAGGTTTTCTCGTTGACCTGAACTAAAATAGAGGCAGATGAAACTTAGCAAATGGATAGAAGAGAAACATGAATTAGTTCCATCGCAAATGTCAAAATTTGAAAATTAGAAAGCAAACGTATAATAATAATAATAATAATAATAATAATAATAACAATACCACAAACAAAAACGGTGCCTCCTTATTGATATGGCAGCCCCCGCCGACTGCAATGTATCTTTGAAGATATTCAAAAAGTTGTCAAAGTACAAGGACCTTGAAATAGAAATCGCGAAAATGTGGCACATGGGAACATCAACAATCCCTGTTGTAGTTGGAGCCCTAGGACTGGTTGGAAAAGATTCCATTAGACTAATTGAAGGGATTCCTGGAAGTCCATGCCTCAAGGAGATACAGAAAATTGTTCTGACAAGTACAGCCCACACCTTACGAAGGGCTTTATCTATGTAATCTTTTTTTTTTTTTTTTTTTGTCAGTGGAAAGTGTCATGACGCCATTTCTAACCTTAGGTCCCTGGGCGGGACCCGGAAAGAAATGTGTAAACGCCAGAAATCAAAGAAAATAAAAACAATAATAATAATAATAATAAGACTTGAAATAGACATCTCGAAAATGTGGCATATGGGAACATCAACAATCCCTGTTGTAGTTGGAGCCCTAGGACTGGTTGGAAAAGATTGCAGTAGACTAATTGAAGGGATTCCTGGAAGTCCATGCCTCAAGGAGATACAAAAAATTGTTCTGACAAGTACAGCCCACACTTTACGAAGGGCTTTATCTATGTATTTTTTTTTTTTTGTCAGTGGAAAGTGTCATGATGCCATTTCTAACGTTAGGTCCCTGGGCAGGACCCGGAAAGAAATGTGTAAACGCCAGAAATCAAAGAAAATAATAATAATAATAATAATAATAATAATAATAATAATAATAAACAAAACAAAAAACACAAAAAAAACCATAGAGAAACTGATACCTTCAGCAATCTGAAATAACAGGATTAATAAAAACAACAAAGAAAAGCAAAGGTACTAGAGGCGTCTTTTGCGTTGATCAGTTATTCGTATAGTCAGAGAGGAAGTACTGCTGAACGATAGTATCTCTATCGTTACCTATATTTTATGATAATGGTCTCAGGTCTGGTTAATGGGTGTGTTATGCTGACTTGCTTGCGGGCGAATAAAACAATTCAAATAGCCAGTAGAAAAAACGGACCTTCTACTATTTGACACCAATGTTTTATTAATGTTACAGTTAAACATATCTTGAAATATTAGAAACGAAGCTCATTTAGTATCAAAGAAAAAAAAAACAGATATTCATTTTCAAATGTAACAATGTTAAACACAGATTGAAAATAACGTTACATTAACGCTGCAATCTGCTCTTTTCGTGCTTTTGTTCCTTCTGATGCCATAAGAATCCGGGTAAAAAAAGTCACAGAAAAAGTACGCTGGGAAAAAAAGACACGGAACAATGTTTATAATGTCTTTCAGTATTTTTTATTTTTACGTTTTATTTGACATTTTTAAATGCTGATTCTAAACCTAACCCTTGATCTAAACCTCTAGACAGCAAGATTTCGGATGTCAGTACCGTTGTGGATCAAAAATGCATAGATTTATTGAAAAATCAATTTGACGCATCCTGCCAAGGAAATCATTGGCATTAAAAAGCGTGGTTCAAACATCTGCTACAATGCGTACCAAACATATCACTCTCAAAACCAAATTTGGGGCGTTATTTTCTATTGTAACTTTTTATACTAGAAAAAAAAATGTGACTTTTTCTGTGATTTTATTACCGCCACTCGCCACAGAGACCACTCTTCTCCAACTTTGTCGAAACGTCATGACAACGTTGTGAATTGGTGTAGATTTCACATTCCGCATTGGTAAAAAAATATCAGAATACTTTTTCTTCACAGAATATTTATATAAATGTTTTAAAAATATATATTTTCATATTTTCTTAATTTAAAATCACTCATTTATATGGTGAGTACGGTATTTAGTCATCCCCACCCCACGAGGGCATCATGTGGCACAAGGCCGGTTTAAAATGGGATCTGCGAGCCCGTGGGCTTGGCCAAAAATATGCCCTTTGAACCCGTATAAACGGGTTCAGAGTCGGTTTACCTCCCCGAAAGAGAATCCGCCCTTCCGCGTAGCCTCTTTCGGGTTCCTCCCCGCCCAAAGGCAGAGAGTTCAACCGATCAGCCGGTCAGCCGTTCGCCCGACTGCTAAGCTCGTGTACATTTTATACATTTTATATGGTGAGTACACGTCCTAATATCCTTCCTTACAAGTTACAAGACAACATATTTGCAAGGTTACAATGCTGCAGCATATGAAAGTTTATTCATATATATAATATGTATGTTCGGGGATTGATCTATGTGTATGGTTGGTTAACATCAACAGGTTCTTTTATAATTGTATAATTTAAAATTTTATTATTTTCCAATATGTTTAATAATCCAGTTCTTAATTATTAGATCAATAAATATTTCGTAAATATACATTTCCGCAAGTTAAATCTCAAGGGTTCAATATATGTTCAGAATTGTTTTAAATTTAATTAATTTTAACTGAATTTTAGAAATAGATAAATAAAATATATAACCGATATTAAAAACTCCCCTCAGAATGTCTATGCTCTGAAGCTTCGGTGTTTATTAAATTCATACATGAAAAACAGTCCTTTTTATTAAATTTGCTAAAAATAGAAATTAAAAGTGTTCAAAAATTTCGAACGTTCTGTACTTTTTGGAAGTAACGATGAAAAAAGGCGTGCATAAGAATAGATTCTTTTTTCTTTTGCTTCAAAGGCAATACACGTTTTTATTTTATCGATATTAAACGCAATTTCTGAGATAATTTTATAGGAAAGATTATTGTTCATAAAGAGGTTAAAATAAAATCTGAATTTTATATTAATTCT